CAAAATGTGCACTCTGGGTGCTGACAGACGCTGAAATTGTAGAGCCTATGACGGATGGCCTCGGGCCGTCCAGGCTCCAAGAGAACAGTTTGGATACTTTTCCCTAGCAAAGACCAGGAACAACCCATGAGCTGATCTGCATCCTTTGCTGAAAAGAATGGATTCAAAATATTAATTGATGGAGAAGAGGCAATATTCTGGGTCCCTTCCATAGCTTATAGGACTGACTGGGTGTAGCACTGCATGTCCTCAGGGGCAACTGGGGGGGGGTGTTTGTGTTGTTTCAATGAGAATGAAACCTGTTGCTTCCAGCCTTCCCAACAAGCAGTATACACTTGAGGTAGGTGTTCAATGCTTCACAGTGTAAGACAAATGAACAGATTGGTTCTGGGCAATGGAAAGATGTGGGGTTTTGCTACCTGAGAAGCTCAATGACAGACACATACCTAGCTCGCATACATCAGGATGGGTTCCATATACCTTCTGAAATGTTAGTAAAGATCGAGCCAGGCTGGACAGACACAGGACGTGTCCTTCAGACTTCATACACTTTTAGCCTGTTCAGTGTCCTAACACAACCCTTTCTTCTGTTTGTAGGAATGGTTTAGGAACAGGAGAGCCATTTTCAGAAGAAATAGTAGAATAGCCATGCTGAGCGAGGTCGTACCTGGTCCCCACAAAAAGGATGCCTGAGGATTTTGGAGCAGCACTTGAGTGCCATCCCTGTCCAGGAGACAGATGTCCTGGAGCCTGTCCCTGCCCCCTACCTATGTGTCAGCCACCCATACTGGCCATGACAACCCTATCTTCCCTGAAATATGTTCTGCAATAAAGAGCTGAATTGTTGATATGTTGCTTCCGTTGTTTTTGATGTTATCTAAAATGGGAGTATAAGTATTTGAATAATATTCGGTCCCAGAAATGGCATTTGAGTTATGAGGTGACACTGGCCAGTAGCAGACACTGTGCCTCGTGGAGTGAGGTAGATTTGCTTCATGCTGACATGGTTATTTTACCCCCCGCCCCCCACCATCATGGTCTTGTCAACTCAATCTCTGTGGAACAAGTTACTTACAAGGATAGCTGTTGCAAGTAGAGGACAGTGTGTTTCTTGACGTGGCTGCTCCCACCTAAACTCTATGAAGTCCCACTCTGGACTCTGTTGGAGTCTCCTCCCAGTTTTGGGAGCAGGAGGAATGGGGGAACATCATGTGTGCTTTCCGCCTCGCTGCGGACATCAGCAGCAATACAAGGCACACTGGCCATTGTTCTGCTGCTTCAAAGAGGGGAGGATCCACCCATGCAGGCCGGCCACAGGGAGGTCGCTGCCTCGTGTCTGCCGGTCCAGCTTAGGGAGCATGTGGTCCCAGGCTTGACTGCTCAGAGACATTGACTGATGTGACCTCTGTCTGCATTTTGTCACTTGCCTTGAAGCAACCTCAGTATGCCTGATATAGGGGACTTTTGCGTCATACAGCTCTGATTTGAAAACAAGGTTGCTCCAGAACAGTAAGTTGGTGCACGGAGAAGCAGTATTGCTTCCGTCCATACGTGCAGAAGTTGCAGTTCCAACTAAACAAAGTTCATCTTAGTGAGATGAACAGGTGTGGCCTAGGCTTACATCGCCCAACTTCCCACATGATACTGTCCCCATGTCCAGGGCTCCGGCCATTGGAACCACAGTCTGTTTTCTGTCTCTGCGAATTAGAGTGCTTCAGGAACCTCAGCTGCTGCAGATACACCCTATTGTGTCTTGGGTCTCTATGACGTCTCCCAACCCGATGACTAGAGAGCCCTTCCTGTGGTAGCAGGTTTCAGAATTTCGCTAGGGCTGGGTCCATGAGCCTGAATCTGAGATCACCAAATTTCATGTCAAGCAAATAATATTGTCTCACAGATCAACACCTCCCTGGCTCGAAGAATGTCCCACCAGTCTTCCTCGTGGTCCCAGTGCCTGTGATAACAAGATGTATGATAGTGACTTCCGATTTAGACCCGAGTGCCCTGCCATCTCTTACTTGGTGCTGCACATTGACCAGTCGGGGGTCTCTGTTCTAAACATCACCTCCCACAAATCAAATCCAATGTTTGCTGGCCAGAAGACATGAGGTGCATGGAGATATACAAAGCTGGTAGGATCAGAAGCTTTGGGTCCCCCGTTTGTCTTTGATGTGGAAGAGCAGAAAGGGGCTCTAGTCGGAGGAACGAAGTCTGAGCACAGTCCCTGCCCATAGGCTGTGAACTCAGTGCTCATCTCACAGTCCCGTGGGGTTTGGAGTAGTCTGAAAACAGTTCTCCGTCTTGTAAGGATTTACAGGAAGCAGTGGCTTCCAGGGGTTTCAGAATGTCTCCAGGGAGCCTGTGCTCCTGTCTGCTTCCAGCTGCCACCGTTTCTGCATAGCAAGAAGGCTTGCTACATCAGAGAGGCCTCCACCTTCCCGACCCCAGTCCCCAGGCACTGCCGCAGCTGCCCCTACCACCAGGACCTCTGCTCCTAACAGACTTCTGGATGGTGTTGTGCAATCATCTTTATCGTAAGATAATCAACAAGTTCCATCGGTGGGGGCCGCACTTGCAGAAGCAGACAGGGGAGATGGCTTCACCGGGAACATAGGGACACAGGAGGAGGGGTCCTGAGGCCTCACATTTGATGCTGCAGTAAAAGATGTTTTTCTGGAGTTCCATTAGGGCACTTGGCACCAACCTTCCAGGTGCAGTGTTACCTGATGACCAGCTTCACTCCCAGACCGCCCCTTGCAGAGATCAGCCATTTCACAGGGCCTGATGGCTCCATGAACCAGACCTAGGGGTGGCGTCTTGTGCCTCAGCAGACTATGGATTCTTGCCTTGTAGTCCTCAGTATGGAAGTAGGCTGTGCTGTTGACCCTCTTCCTTAGGAGGCTGAGGAAACATTAAGAAACATCTCCTAAGCCCAGTTTAGGCTCTGGATCCTCTTATTTCCTGTGTGGTAGCCATCTCTCCTGTACTATGAAAGGTTTCACCTGCATTTGGGATGTCTAATGTTTTCAGGAACCTTACTCCAAGATGGAATGTCTTATCTTGAAGGAAATTGCTACACAACCCGTGGACCCAGCAGCAGGGCCAGATCCTGTTGAGGCATGCTCTAAGCGACCACATGCCTGCCTCGGGTTCTGGCTGGCCTTGCTATCTATTAGATGAGGCATAGATTTTCTGTAGCTCACAGTGCTGTGCAAGCGACCCATTCGAGTGAGTCTGTAACAGGGCAACAGCACAGAACATGGCAGTGCTTGTGGGGAGACTGGGTAAACACCAGTTCAAAAGGGTTCTGTGTTCCTGATGGTCTGAGTACTGCCTGTGGTTTGTGGCTAGGGGAAAGAACTTTGATTGCATGAGCAGGCAAAAAGACTTTTTGGTGTTCGTTGAGGAAATTCTGCAAACATACCCTCATCCAGCTTTCCAAAATCTACATGGCCCTTCCTCCTGAGGGCACTATGCTCTGTTAGTAGTGACTTCCCCTGGACATTCGAGCTTGCTAAAGTCGGAGATCCACCATCCGGGGCTCAGAGAGTCCTCTCTTACTGTTGGGTTTGTTGGGCTCTTAAAGTACTTTGCACCTGTTGACCGAACTATAAACATGCCACCATATGCCTGCCTCAGTCCTTACTTTCTGGATCTTTCTCTCAAGCTGTTTCAGCCAGAAGTAGCAATGTTCCTTGTCCCCCTGCAACAAAAGGGTGTCTCTTGACTCAAAACCAACAACCTACTTCAGTCAGGTCCCATCTGGCCTTATTTGTCAAGGGTTTTTTAATTCAGGCACGGTATTCACTCTTACAGGTTAAGATATTTATCCCTCAATATACTTAGAATTCCTGGGGCAGTCTAGCCATGATACAGCTCTACAGGCAGCTGAGGCTATGTTTCTAATAGCACGTTTTTATACTTAATTAATGAAAAGCCAGACAATTCAATGTACACCTGTGTCCCTTGGGACAGTGTAAAACTAGGAGAGTAAGATACCAGCCCAGCTTAACATATATGGTAAGTGTGGGACAAAGTGAGGTTCAGGCTGGCCTAGAATACATGACACACTGTCAAAAAAAAAAAAAAAACCAAAAACAAAACAAAACAAAAAACAAAACAAAAAACAAAAACGAAACAAAACAGCAAAAAAAACCAAAACGAAACAAAAAAAAAAAAACCAAAAACAAAACAAAACAAAATAAAACAAAAACAAAAACAAAAAACCTCAGGGAAAGCTTGCATATCTGGCTGTGGGATAAGGAGAAATTCTCCAGTCGTTCACCCAAGACTTGAGTGCTCATTGTGCGTCTTCCCCTCCTCTTCGCCATACGCCATGCTAAAATCAGCTTGCAATAACGCCATGTTCCCAAGGTCCCCTTTGGTGTCCTAGAGCAGTGGCCAGGGCAGGTAGCTGGATCTGAGCGGGTATACTAAAGTTAAGATTCAGTGTGTGTGTGTGTGTGTGTGTGTGTGTGTGTGAATCCACTTTCCCTGTGCCCACTCACTGGGGCCTTGTGATAGCCCATTCTCACTTCAGAGGACCGCCCACTGGGGTGGGAAGCACTCAGCGAGCCAATAGCATTCTTGAAATAGGAGGCCCTGAGCCTTTGTGAACCCAACCTACTGAAAGCCACCAGGGCAGGGCTGCTGCCAAAGACTTCAGCAGGGTGCAGGTCTCCAAAGAGCAGCAGCCATGGAGCCCCTCCACAACTACAGTGACAACTTCTACTATCATCTGGAGGACTCTGAGGGGGACAGCCGCCTCTACCCTGAGCTGGGGGCAGCAGCCCCAGTGGACGGCAACGTCTGTGAAGGCCCGCTAAGCCTGGACGACAGTGAGAAACAACAGGGCAACCTGACCCAGCCAGGCCCGGTGAGGCCTTACCCCACGGGTCCTGAAGGTGACCAGAGCAGCCAGGAGCCTGTAGAGCTGGGTGCAGAGCAGGCAGCCCTCGCGGTGACCGAGGTTCCAAGGCGCCATCCCAGGAGGCACCAAGTCCAGTTCTCCTTCACGCAGTGGCAGGTGCAGGAAATGGAGGCCGTTTTCCAAGAGACCCAGTACCCGGATGTGCTCACAAGGTATGTGGCTGACACGAGGAATCATTCTGACTTCCAGGGCCTAGGGTTCATTTTGACCTGGCCTTTACCCCATCTGGGCCTTGTCATCCCCATTAATCTCCACACCTCAGGCTGTTTCTCCCTCATGGTGGCAGTGGGGAAGATTCCTTATGGCAGCGATGGCGTGGAAAGTGTGTGCTTGCCCCTCGCCACACTCTATCTCATTTCTCAACCGTGCTGCAGCATGGATACATGAAACTCATGTGGGATCTCAGGGTGTTCTGATGCTTCAGAGTGCTACCATGTCAAGTGCCATTGAGGTGTGTCCTACGGGTCTCTAGAAGTCCCTTCTCTTGACCAATGATACCAAATTTTCCCTTCTTCCTCCACACAGCACCTGACATCTTGCTTCCTTCCTTCCTTGTGCAAACAGGAGTAATCTAAAGAGTCCTGCCATGGAGTTCAAAGTCCTTGTTGTGAGGGTCAGCTGTCTTTGATCTGAATGTCACAACACTGTATCACCATACCCTGTCTTTGTTTGAGAATGCCTCCCCTTGGAGGTCTGGGTTGTTTGTGCCTTGAGGCTATCTGGAGTGGGGTTGGGGCTACCTGGCTCAAAAACAACTCCTCAGCTCCAGGCTTCTGCTCTTTGCTGTGGAAACTCTGAAATGGAGTCACTGGATCAAGTCTTCTAGTAAGCAATGCTTTTCCTTATCTAGTGCCTGAGTTGATAATCCATCCGGGGGTACAAGCTTCCCATGCTCTCTCCTTCCTCTCTAGCACTAAACCCTTCATTTTCTTAGCTGCCCCACTGGGTAAGAGATTGTAACACTCTCCTGTTACACTGTGGTGCCTTGTCAGTTTTCATTTGCTTGTCAGTGGCCCTGCCTGAAGCCAGGGGAATGATCCTTAGGCAGTGCACGAAAGCTCCAGCCATGGCCGGCCATTTCCTGGTTGTTGATATCGAGGGGGGTTGTTTCTTAGGAATGGATGTTTTTGGAGTCCTGGGAGAAATGGAACCTAGAATGTACGCCGGTCGACCTTGATCTTGAGTCTGTCCTCTCTCTGGTTTCCAAGAATCGGGAATGCAAATCTGAGGTCTTTTGCCTTGTCTACAAGCCTTCCCTTACTGATGGAGATAGGGTCTGTCTAGCTTCCTTAGGGTGAACATGAACTTAAGTTGAGCCTCCTCAAGCCTTATATTGTGACCCTTCTGCCTCAGTTTCCCAAGTAGCTGGAATTACAGATTCTTTGTTGTTTTGCTTCTTTTTTGGTTGTTATTTCAAGATAGGGCTTCTCTGTGTAGCTCTGCACACCAGGCTGGCCTGGAACTCACGGAGATCCGCCCACCTCTGCCTAAAGGCTTGTGCCACCACAGCCTGGGTTGGAATCTTATATTGCTGATGTGCTGTAATTAACCCATGTTCTCTCCCTCTTCCTGCCCCGGTGCTCCTGCACGGTGTTTGCAATGGGCACAAAACATACTTTACAGGAAGCAGAGATGGGGGATTGAGATCCGGCCGCCATGCAGGCTTTCATGTCTTTCCTGCATGTTGCTGTGTTTAAATTTTCCATAACAAATGCATCATAGACTTGTGCCTTTCTGTTCATTTGTAAAATACTACATTGAAATCATTTGTGTAAGCTAAAGTAGTCTTGACCGCAAATGGACAACACGGCACTTAATATTGCGATGAAGTGAACCTTCCTTGGCTTTTTCTGCCAGTGTCCTAGACGAGTTGTGCAAGAGGACAGACACTGACACAGGTGCACACGGTGTCCAGCATGTGGCATTTCTCATCACCGTGACTATAGAACTTTGTGGCTTTCTCTCCACAGGAGGGTGCTTGCCAGGAACATGAATGTGCCTGAAGACAAAATACAGGTCAGTAAATAAGGGAAAACGTGGGACAGTCCGTCCATCAATCGCATGCTTCGTGTCTCAGACCAGTTGTTCTGGGTCACTTTCCGTAGGTGTGTGTTTTCATTCTTTCTTATGATGGCAGCCTCTGGATTCGTGATAGGAAGCTGGAGGACCTACATGCCAGCTTGTATTGCTTGCTCCTTCCTGGAGGGAAAGTGTCTTCCTGATGGAAACAGACAACCAAAGCAACCATATGGAGCACATACTCTGTGTGCAAAGACAAGGTCTTTCCACAGCATAGACGATAAATGCATACATGTAGAATACACACCTGTGAGGACATAGCTATTTACCCAATGATTCGTATTTAATTCCTTCAACACTATTGTCCATTCCGGAGAACTTCTCTGCAGTCATATCTAGGCCGAGGATGCTATCGTAGATACTCAAGGTGATGCAGGATGAAGCAGGGCTACCAGTGGATTCACTCCTGTTAAATTACTAAAGAATATGCTGTGTACACTTAGCTACAGGAAAACCTACTAGCAAATGGGGCAAGTGAATAGTTTGCCCCTAGAACCCAGTTAGGACCGGCTGATGCTTGTTATGGTGAGGCTGATGTGCGACTAGAGCTTCCTAGCCCAAGTGGATGTTGCTCCTCCTCTGTGAGGCCGCACTCAATTTTAATGTGGGGATTGTTTACAGTTCCATGTTCCCTTCACATGATCACTTTGGGTAAACTGTGCCAACAGTAGTGGAAAGGGCAAGGGTCAACAACGCCCTTTCAGAACTGTATAAGGAATGATACAGCAAATCCACTGATGCTGAATTAAGAAGAGGTAACCTACCATCGGTCAATATGTTGCCAGTAAAACTGCACCTTGCAAATCACATTAGAAGTGCAGGTGTCTTGAACCTAGTCTGTTCCAGAACTTGGCACAGAGCTGTTGCTCTCCCTGTGTGCACCGCTGGAGCAGGAAAGCTGGGGCTGACAGAAAGCAGTGGTTGCTGCTGCTGCCTCAGTTCCTTGGAAGAAGGCAGGCTTAAGGAGGGTCCTCCAAGGCTGAGAACAAGCCGCCTGCTTTTTCCGTGGGCGTCTCAGCATTTTAAAAAGCGCATCTGCTATGAGGTTCAGAGGGCCAGTGATATACCATGTGTTTCGACGTTGTGTCTCCTTCCATTAAAGTGACAGCTTGCTGAGACATTTCCTGCTCTCCTCCTCTTTCAGAATTGGTTTAACAACAGGCGAGCCAAACAGAGGGCCAGAGAGAAGAAAGCAATGATCAGGAGGGCGCCGCCTGGGACCCAGGACCACATTTGCATTGTGGACCCAGAGGAGGCCTAGGCTGTCATCCTCATCCAGGGGCCACATGCAGATGGGCTGTTTGGTGTCACAACTTGGTCACTCATGAGGGAAGATCATTGTGTTTCTCTATATCCTTAGCCTTGTATTACAGTAACAATAAAGTCAGACTTTCACTAGACTTTCTGCTTTGTAGAATGCAAATGCAAAATGTCCTTTCTAAGTAAGATGCCAACAGATTGACAAAGACGTGTGCACTTCACAGTTTTTTCCTGGACTCACTGCATTCGCATGGAAAGCACATTGTTCCCTGTCCCTCACTGGTGCCTCCCCTCTCCCCCATTGTGACCACCTAGGAGCACAATCCTGTTCAGGGCTCCTCATTGTCCCCAGTAGGTGTTCAGTGTGCTTTCAGGCAGCGCAGCCTCCTGCCCACACTCCGGAGTTGAGTGCAAAAGTGAATCTCAGGGAAGGCCAGGCATGGGATGCGTGAGGGTGGGCATGTGAGCATTCATGGTGGAGTCCTGTCCCTCCTCACCCCAACCCCACCTTGTGTGGAGCACAGATGTGTGAACAGAGGTCCTGCAGCTTCAAAAGGAACCTCGACTGCTTTTCCATTCCAGGCTGGAGGAAGGCTTGCTTCACTTTTCTCCTAACCATGAGCCAACAAAATATATTTGTACTTAAGTTTGAAACTCATATCGATGACATTGATGAATTGAATTCCGTCCATTCCTCATTGATGTACAGGGAAATGAAGACACCAGAACTGGTGAACTGAATGTGGTTTTATTTTGAAGTTTTGACAGAGTGTGTTTTGAGTGATGTTGAACTCAAACTCATTTCACCAAGTGTCGTGGTTAGTGTTTCTATTGTTATGAAGAGGCACCAGGACCATGACAGCCCCTGAAAAGGAAAAGATTTAATTGAGGGGGCACCCTACAGTCTCAGAATTTTAGTCCTTTTTCTTCAAGGCAGGACATGGGGGGCATGCATGCAGACGTGGTGATGGAGACGGAACTCATCTTCTACATCTTGATCTGCAGGCACCAAAAGCAACTCTGTCACACTGGATGTAGTCTAAGCATGAAAGGCCTCAAAATGTGTCCCCCACAGTGACACACTTTCTCAAAAAAAAAAAAAAAAAAAAAAAAAAAGCTCACACTCTTTCAAAAAGGCCATATCTCCTAATAGTGCCACTACCTATGTGGGCCATTTTCTTATTTGCTTTATTTCTTTATATTTTTAATATTTTTCTCATTTTACATAATGATCCCAGTTCCCTCTACCTCCCAACCTCACTTCCCTTCCATTACACCCATCCTATCCCCATCCACTCCCCAGAGAGGGTGAGGCCTTCAGTGGAGGATCATCAAAGTCAGTAAAATAAGTTAGGATAAGGGAGTATCCCTCCATGGGGAATGGGCTCCTGAAGTCCCTTTCTTCACTAGGGATACATCCTGGATACATTGTCAGAGGTACCATAGACTTCCCAGGCCTCTTAACTGAATCCCACATTCAGGAAGTCAGGGTCTGTATTATGTTGTTTTCCCAGCTGTCAGTCTGGGGTCTATGAGCTCCCCTTGCTCAAGTGAGCTGTTTCTGTGGGTTTCTCCATCGTGGTCTTGACCCCTTTACTCATCACTCCTTCCTCTTTGTAATGAAGTCGAGGAGTCCAGCTCAGTATTTATTGTGGGTGCCTGCTTCTGCTACCATCAGCTGCTACATGAACGCTCAAGGACTGCATATAAGGTAGTCATCAATCTCATTCTCAGTGAAGGGCATTTCAGGTAGCCCCTCCACTACTGTGTAGATATTTAGTTTGTAGCCATATTGTAATTCAAAAACACATTCAGTCCACTTAAAGAGTAAACCTTGTGAACAACAGTCTCAAACTTAGGTTGCAAAATAACGGTCCAGGTTTCTTCTGAGATTCATTCAATCTCTTAATTAAATCCTCTGTATAATCAAACTCAAAAAGCAGATCCCATCGGTCCATCCCATAGTGGCACAGGATGTACGTCTGTCATAGAGAGAAGGAATCACAGGAAAGTGAGGAAATACTGGACCAAAGCTGGGCCACAATCTAGCTGGGCAAACTCAAGCTCTCTGTCTCCATTTCGGTGTGAAAATGCTCTTAGAATTTTCAATTCCTTTCTGTTTTGTTGACTGCAAACCCCCCCCTCCCCCGCTCTCTCTTGGGCTGCTTCCATTCCCTGTAGGCACATCTTTTCCACAGGTATCCCATGCCTCTGCCATCTCTAAAATCTGGGTGTGTCTAGTGCAATCCTGGCTTCAATGTCAGGGCTTCATAAAATGGGGCGTCACTAGAGCTCCATTCAGAGATACCCCTGACACATACCTGGTCTCAGGGACTTTCCTTGGTCACAGAGGAAAATTGCATAACCCCTTTCCTCTGTAACTGACTCTAAAGGCAGAGCCTTGACAACTGAGCTGCCAGGTTCTATTGCTCTTGTGGGGCAGGATCATGGCCCCCTCATCCGATTACACCATTGCCAGCTTTGGGTTTTCGATGGCATCATTTACTACCTAGCTACCATGCCTGTCCTGAAACTTCTCTGTAGACCTTCCTGGTCTCAAACTCCAAGGTCCAGCAGCTTCTGCCTACCCACGACCCCTATCACACGTGGCTCTAAGTTTTCCTTTCGTTGTTTCACGAGTTGGACACTTGGTTGTGTGAGGCCTTCCTGAGTCCATCCCTCCCTTTATTCCATTTCTTAATCTGTTTATCTCCATGAACTCAGCTCTTACCTCCATCCCATTTCCTGGTGCTCCTTTCACCTCAAATGGTGTTTTCTGTCTTTTTCTTTGCTCAGCTTCCTCCTTTTCATTATGAATCTTCATTAGAGGTAGCACTAATAACCACAAAACAGTGTCTATACCGGGTTCTTTTGAGATTTCCTCTGCCAACAAAATTAATCCAGATCTTCTCACTTCAGCCTCAGGCAGACTCTTTGGACAAGGTCAAATGACAGCTACATTCTTTACCGAAATAACACAGAAGGACACCTAGGTCACATACTAAAGTTCGGCTCCAGGGAAACCCCTTGAGCCCGACCCCCACTGACCATGGCCAATCCCCCAATCAAAACCTGGCCCCCACAGGGACACGCTTCCTCTGAAAACGCTCCACTTGCTCTTCAACAAGGCCACAGCTGATAGTGCAACTCACTATGGGGGACATTTTCTTTCAAACCACAGCACCAGGCTTGAGTGAAGTTCTGATCTGGCCTCTAACTCCTGGTGGTCAGATAACAGGCATCATGAAAAGGGAATCCCACTCAGCTTTAGCAGTTCAAGGAACCAAGCCGCAGGCTTTCTGTGCATGGGGGAAGTGCCGCACCATTGTATATACTTTTAGTCCCCAACGCGGTTGACTTTACCAAATTCACCAGAAGTAGAAAGAAGAAAGTCTCAGGTCCCAGAGCCCTTGTCAAGGTGAATTTCAAGTTCTACGGCAAAGACAAAGGAGGGGAAATGTTTGGGCTGAGACTGAGCAGTGAGACAGTGCCCAGAACTGTGAGGAAGTCTTTTGATAGAAGGAAAACTTCCCCTGAGGTGCCAGGGATCGATGTGTTCCAACAACAACAACAACAACAACAAGAGAGGAAACATCCTGGTCACATAACACATCTTTAATACCCTTCGAGCCTCATTGAGACCAAACTTGCTGGGAAAAAGGGCTGTCCTGGAGTCATTCCAGGCACATATCAATGAAGGGCTGCTTTGCTGGTGCTTCAGAGGTGTGGACCTGGATACAAAGGCCTGCTCTTGACACTGACTATTCAGCAAAATTAAGTGTGTGTGTGTGTGTGTGTGTGTGTGTGTGTGTGTGTGTTTGAAATAACTATAGGATATTAGGAACCTCAGCACGTGCATGACAATTCTCAAAGATTTACCAGCAGTCATGAAGTCTGAACAGTAGTACGAAACTCCTCAGTAGCGCGGGTGAAGTTGAGCCCTTTCTTCTGCCTGCTGAGCAACCCGGGGCAATCTGCCCCAAGCTCCTGGCAAGGCAGAGCATGGAAGTACCACAGGCTCGAACTTCATTTTCTGTGCAGTCCAGAGACCCTCCCCGATAAACACATTAGCATAATATCCTTTCTCCGCCAAGTAGCAGGGAACCAGGGTGGGGCACTAGGCCGAGAAATGCTGTCCTCCGTTTCCACAAGTCCTCCTGAGCTACTGGGGGATCTTTTCTTGCTACCAGGAAGTGGGATCCCCTAGTTGACCCCCGTTTGCCCCCTGAACCATAGTCCAGCAGGGCGGAAGGACTCATGGATTTGCAACGTGGAAGTCTACTGTCCTCTACCTGCCCAAGGGCTATGCCTGCCCTGTAAACACATTCTGCTCACTGAGGCTCCAAACTGCTCTTGGTTTTGCACCTCAGGGGCTCAAGCCTTAGCAACTGTCAATCATCATAGGAAACCAGGAAGGAGCACCTCGGATTGGCTGAGACATCCATGGAGGCAGGGCCTTACACCCAGTAGATAAAAAGCCCTTCCTGGCTGAGATGCTCTCCTGTTGGTACTGTAGGGGGCTCCAGGTCAGAACCTGAGGTGGCTTGAAGGAAGGCAACCCTAAAGCGACTTCCACAGTCGCATTTCTGTCATGGAGCATGGAGACATCAACTACCTGCCTCGTGAAGGACCTGAAGAGGGAAAGCTGAAGGGTCAGTACTGGCTAGGAGTGGTGAGTTGACCATGCCCATTAGGGGATGTCGTCCCCGAGGGGTGACTGGACAGGCTCGGTGCACGGCTGGGGGCTTCCTCTGCTTCGACCTCATAGAGACTTTGCACCACCATGGGTCCTGTCTCCTCATCTCTCGGTTTCCTGACTTTCAGGTACCGAGACACCCATGGTCTTGGCTGCTGGTGAGGGGAGAGAGGAGGAAGAGAGTGGAAGGCCTTCTCCTGGGTGTGGTTCCCCAACAGCAGAGGTGGGCGGAGTAGAACCGAGAGACACAGGGGACAGCGGAGAAGGGTCGTCTGCTGCTGTAACTGCGGACCTCATGGAAGACTGGAAGCCAGAGGGGGGCACTTGCAGTAGCCAGGAGCATGAGTGTCCACTTCAGAAGCCAGTCCCTAAGAGCACAGGGGACACCGAGGAGGTGCAGCATCCGCCAGTGTCAGGGGCCGGTGTAGAGTCTACGCCAGTAACGATGCCCGGTGTACAGCCTGTGCCCATTGCTATGGCTCATGCAGAGCCTGTGCCGATCACCGAGCCTCCGGAACAGCCTATGCCTGTTCCTGACCCCCAGGTTCAGCCTGTGCCTGTTGCTGTGCCCCACGTTCAGCCTATGACATTCACTGTCCCCCAGGTGCAGCCTATGACTGTTCCTGTCCCCCACGTTCAGCCTATGACTGTTCCTGTCCGCCACCTTCAGCCTATGACTGTTGCTGTCCCCCAGGAGCAGCCTATGCCATTCACTGTCCCCCACGTTCAGCCTATGCCGGTTCCTGTCCCCCAGTTTCAGCCCATGACTGTTCCTGTCCCCCAGGTGCAGCCCGTGCCTTTTAATGTGTCTCAAGCTCTGCCCTTGCCATTCACTGTACATCAGGTTCAGCCTGTGCCTGGTCCTGCCTCCCAGGTACAGCCTCTGCCCATCACTATGTCCCAGGTTCAGCCTCTGCCCATCACTGTGCCCCAGGTACAGCCTCTGCCTGTTACTCTGCCCAATGTACAACATTTACCAGTTGTGGTCTCTAGCATAGCACATATGCCAGTGCCTGATGCACCGCCTCTGCCGTTCTGGGAGTCCAGTGTGCGAAATGTACCAATCGCACTACCCAGTGTACAATCTATACCAGGTACGCTAGCCACTGTACAGCCCGTGCCAGCTCTGCCGCCCAGTGTTCGCCCCATACCAGTTATGCTGTCGGACATACAGCCTGTGCCGGTGCTGGTGCCCCACCGCCGCCTCCGTGACAGGTTTACTGGACAGCAGCTGCAGGAGTTGGAACGCATTTTCCAGAGAAATCACTATCTAAGTGCTGAAGAAGGGTAAGCGGACCGTGTGGCTTCCAGTCCTACGAGGAGGGAACACGCTGCTTCAGAGAGGCCTGTGCCCACTGGCAGGTTGATTTACTCAGCAGTGTACATTACATGTGGGTGTTCCATTTTGTCTGCTGGGTGTGTGCGGTGGGGAAGCTGTGTCTCGTACTTCATGGTCAGAGGACAGCTTGAAGGACTTGGTTCTCTCCTTCCAGGATGGGCTCCTGGGCTAAACATCACCTCCTCAGGCTGTCTGGCAAGCACCTTCACCAGCCTGCCTCCATTTTGCCCTCTAGAACTAAAAGCCACCCACATGTTCCAGCCTGCTAGACCCCTGCCTTGCTGCCTCAGGGTTCTGCCATGGGAGGGGAGCTCTGCAAAACGGGAGTGGAGCTGTCTATCCTGTGTAGAGTTTAGGTGGGGCAAGCAGAAATGTTTGGCCAGTGCCTGTTGAGCTAAGTAAGTAAGGTCCCCTTGGGGCAGGCCTGAGAATCCTGGGGTGGGGATGGAATAACACAGGATTCTGCCTCTGTTTACAATGATGATTTATTTGTACTTCCTGTGTTTCCAGTTTGTGTTTACCAGCTGTAAACACGTCGCCACTTTTCTCTGAGTTACTGTTTTGGCATTTCTGAAAATTGTCTGAAAGGATCAACTTCAGCATTGGGTGGTCATCGTGGCTTCTGATGTCATCCCGGCTCTGAAAAGGCCAGCCTGGGCTACAGTAGTGAGGTCCTGGAAAGCCTGAGCCACAACAAAACTATTTCAACACAGAGAAACTAACTATGTTTATCAAACCAGGTGTGCCTGCCTGTAGCCCCAGTCCCTGAAGGTACAGGAAGCCAGGTCAAACATTCAAGGCCACCCTCACTCCTGTGAGGAAAGACAACCCAGAACCCGGGAGACCAGACCTTTTGTGTTGCTGATTTAGGCCTGCCTAGGTTTTGGTTTTGATTGTTTCTTTTCTGGTTTTCTTATGCAGAGTCTCACTTTGTAAGCTAGAATGCCCTCTAACTATCAGGAAAGGTGTTACTTAAATCTCTCTGATGTGAGAGCTTTGCTAATATTCGCTTTGTGCCTGATGTGATTTTACCATTTCATTTCCTGGTGCTGGGAGGTGTCTCAGCAGGTGAAAGGCTCATCCTGTCCTTGGACCCAGAGAGAACCCAGTCTTGGAAACTGTGCTCTGATTTCCCCATGAGCACTGTGACCTAAAATGAAGAATCTCTCTCTCTCTCTCTCTATGTGTGCCTGTCTCCATCCTTACCACTCTGCTTCTCTCTCTTTCACACTCTCTATCTCTGTTTCTCTCACCCTCCAGACCCCTCTTCCTTTCTCTCTTTGACTCTTTCTCTCTCTCTCTCTCTCTCTCTCTCTCTCTCTCTCTCTCTCTCTCTCTCTCTCTCTCTCTCACACACACACGAATTGGATATAACAGTAAATTCCACCAATCCATCTTCTTTTGATCTTCTTTTGTGTTTTTCCTTCCACCTCGGCAAAGACCATCACACAAGATTTTCATGTGTGCATTGGTATTCTGGTATTTTTTGAGGAGGTTTTATGTTCAACACACCCAATGGTAGGAGCATTTATTTCATATGGTGCAGTCTCTACTGGCATTGTAACTTGTTTATTTGCTGAGTGCTAGGGTTTTCTTCTATTGACAGCTTCTTTCTGCCAAATTCGGATCAGTGTAGAAAGTAACTATCCTAGAAGTCAGGGGACTGAGACAGGGATTTTAAACGATGAACAGAACTTTACATGACTCCTTTCCTCTGCCATGCCAAATACTGAACATGTGCCGTTTTTCCTCTCAGAAAACAGCTGGCAAGATCCATGGGCGTGACTGAAGCCAAACTGCAAGTGAGTACCCAAGCAAAGGCCATGTGACACACACCCATTTGAGAACTTCCCTCTGCTCTAGGATATGTGTGTCCTGCCATTAGAGTTGTCTTTTTGCTTTGACCTTACCACGTCTCAAAACGACTTTGAAAAGATTCCTTTCAAACTAAGTGTGTGTGTGTGTGTGTGTGTGTGTGTGTGTGTGTGTGTGTGTGTGCGTGCGCGCATGCGCGCAACATTTACGTGAGTGCCTATGGAAGCAGAAGAGGGGAGAGGGTATTGGATGCCCTGTAGCTGGAGTTAGAAATGACTGGGGACCACCAGACACAGGTGCTGGGAATTGAATCCAGGCCCAAAAGAGCAGCAAGTGCCCTTACCCCTTGGGCCATCTCAGCAGCCACCTCAAAGTAATTTTCAAGCTTTGTGGGTTTGTGGGCCGGAAATAAAACCAGAACCCTCACTATGCAGAAGGGGTACATTTCAGCTGGAACCAGCTTCCTACGGGGACACAACCAAGTAGAAAACCAAGTTCACTCCATAAACACATGTGTATCCTTCCTTGTTTATTTACTATTTTCATTTACCTGGTGCTGATACCTGGCAGTGGCATAAATGAGCTCCCTGCTGGGGAACTCAGCCATTCCTAGCCAAGCAGCTGACCCGGGTCTCCTGAGGTGTGCACATCATCTGATTCTGCAGGCTTCTTCCACTCGCAGCATTGATTACAATCCTTAGGGTCCTGTTCTTCAGCTGCTGCTTCCCCACCTGCTTTCAGCCGCTGCTCGGGTCTCTCTAGTCTCCCTGGTCTCTGGCGTGCTGTGCCCTCCATGTGGACATCACTACATTCTGTACATGTGTCTCTGGCTCCTTCAGCCGGCTGCTCAGGCCTGCCTCTCTCACAGGGTCGTCTCCCTTTTCTCCTGCTCTCTCCCTCTCTCCTTCTCCACTGGGTGAGTGTCACCCCAAGCTGCCTGCTTTCTTTGTTGTTACTACAAAAGCCACTCCTGTGTGCCAGGAAGCTCCTGTCCCCCACACTCTCTCCTTTCCTCTGTAATTTGGAACACTTATCTCTCTGACAAATTTCTCACTCCACTTGGGGATGTCGTGGATGGAAATTCTTGTCACTATGATGTTTTACCCACCTCAGATACTGGTACTTCTGGTATGTGGCCTGCCACACCTGTCTGGGTCTCTCAACTAATGGCTGCCCTTTCCCCCTGTCTCCTCCCACCCCTAACCCTTGTGTCCCAGCTCCATCTGTTCCCATCCACTCTGGAATCTCCCCGATGGCCTTGCCCCCGGCTATGTTCTCCCAGGTAGCTATTATAAACTTTATCTTCCATCCACTGCACCTAGGAGCAAGTCATGTTCCTTTCCTTTTTTATGTCTTTTTTCCATTCAGTGTTAATAACATTTATATTTGGGTAAACATATACTCCAGTGATTTAATGCTGGTATCCTTGAGGTAGGGTTTCTCTGTAGAGACATCTCTCTGGGATTATGACATGCAAAGGACACACACTGGTATAGCTTGAGTTTCCATGATCCTAGACTATTAGAAATATTGTAAACTACACATAAATTCTATCCTTACAGGGGCAGTTTGAGTGTGTGGAGAGTTCACAGGCAGAACCCTGCATGTGTAAACCTGGTAGAAAGTTGGTTAAACAGAGACTGACGGGAACGGGGATGCACAGAGTCCAAAGGTGCTGTCCTCCTGCTGTTTGAAGCACCTGGTGTGGCCACACAGATAAGGGCAGCCAGCAGTATAATTGTCTGAAGCACGCTGGTGCGTCTGCCTGAAAACGCTGCTAACGTCCTCCAGTGTGCACTGCAGTAGAGACAGGGGAAAGGCCTGCAACGTTTGCACATTTGTCCAGGGACTAATTCTGCAGTGCTGGGGTGGGAACCAGGGTCTCCCACATTCTAGGCCAGCTCTGCATCCTGCTCCAGCCCCTCAGCTCCTCACAGAATTGCAGCCCTGGTACAGCAGGTTCTTCCCTGAAATCTAAATTATAGAGAGTAGCTAACGTCACAAGGTGTGCTTTCTGATGGTGTCGAACTACCCAAATGAACAAATCGCTCTTTTTCTCATTGTAGAGATGGTTCAAGAAGAAGAGAGAAAGATTATGGAGAGGGCATCATCCTTCCGGTCCTAGCACTGCTCCTCCTGAGACCCAGTCCACCTCTCCCTAGATATTTGCAGGAGCCCTAGTGAGCAACCCTTGACCAGGAGCCACTTGTGGATGCCTATTTTTCCCCCAACACGTGTTATTGTATCTTTCTTCCCTAACCACTTGTATTTGGAATAAATAGATTGTTGGTTCATCTGAGTCATGTGTCTTCTGCTTTAGTATGCTGTGTATGGGAGTTTTCAAGAAAATGCCATTTAAAGAAAAGGACAAGGTCTCCTTCTGTGGGTGACATCCCTGAGCGACCATCAGTGAGCCTCTCATATCACAGGAGCTTGTCAAGGGTTGTATGCAGTATGTTTGAAGGGATGCACACATCCTTTTCACCTCTATTATGATTTCTTCATCCTCGCCCTGTCCATCCTGCACCACACATGTGCAAGAGGGACATGGAATATCCCTTGGGAGAGGCAGCATTTAACCTGGCAAAGCCAGTTCTGGCCATGCCTGGGATTTCATTCCTGCCATGGACAGAGAGAACCTTTTTTGATCGTTTCTGTTTTTGTTTTTTTAAGTATGGCTTTCGTTTTCCTTTTCTTTTTCTGGTTAAAATGTGTCAGTTTTGTTGAGGAGATTTTTCTTTTGTCAAGTAAACACAAGCTAGACACATCTGTAAGAGGGAATCTATGTTGAAAAATATCTCCATCCTGTAGCCTTTGAGGGGATATTATCTGATTCTTGGCTGATATGGGAGGGCTTCTCCCTCTGGGGGTAGGGAAACCCAGAGAAGGTCATCCTGGAGTCTATTAGAATGCAGGCTGAGCAAGACAAGAGGTCAAGCCAGTAAGAAACATCTCTACCGGGCCTGTGCCTCTTTTCTGGACTTCAGTGCATACCCTGACTTTCTTCAATGATATCATTCTTGTCACTCCCTGTTTGCTTATGGTCTTGTGTTCTATACAGAAGCAGAAAGCAAACTCAACCCAAGTCAAATGAAATAAAAATGCAGTAATAACAGCCATCCAATGATTTCTTTTTCACTTTTTCAACTCTGCATAATTTCTTTATTGAATCCTTGGTAAATTTACATCACATACCCTAATTCTGCCCATCTGTCAGTCTTTCTGTATTCCTTCCTTAGCCCTGTAGTGTTCCACAAAGGAAAAAATTAAATAATCTAACCAATCCAAAACAAGCACACACACATACACACAGGCCCGCACACACGCACACACACACACACACACACATACTCACACACATATACGCACACACACACAAAAGAAAACAACAACAAACCCATCTTGGTGCCTCCCTCTTTCCTGTCTGCATCTACAACATCTTTTCTTTCTTTCCTCCTGGTGGCATTGTAAGCCTCCACGTGTCACAGTGTCACAGGATATTCCTTTTCTTCCACACACCTTTACTTGTAAATGTTCATTGCAATTAGTCATATGTTTGGTCCAAGACCTCCGGATTCTGGTATACCATCTTCACAGGATGCTCATTGGAGCTCCTTTTAGGTACATCATGGCCACCCAGAGTCATGGAGATTCTGTGGTCTTCTTTGCTCAGGACCAGTTCCTTCAAGAGCTGCAACGGGACCTAGATGGTGTAGATGTTATGGTAGGCCAACCCCAGGCCAGGCTGTGAGCCTGGATGGTATCTGAACAGGTTAATTTGGACCACGGGGGTACCCCCTCAGATGAAGAGGGGAGTCAGCTCTCCTATTGCCCTGTCTTCAGGGTCAGCTCTCCCTTGCCTGTGGTGAAGGGTGGGGCCATCTCTCCCCAATGCTGTGGCCACCTCTCCAGTGATTGTCAGGGCCAACTCTCTTGCTGCAGGGTCCAACGAGGGGCAAGGCCCGCACAGCAGGGGCCTCTGATTTCATCCACTGTGGCTCCTGTGGACTGCTGAGTTGACATGGGCCATAGAGCTCAACACGGCCTGTAGCAGGACCACAGCTTGGCCTTTGAATACATAACAAATGTAGGTATGTCCAAGGAATTCTAATGACCAGATAGCCTGCAAGGGTGTTCAACTTGATGGTTGTTATAGGCCAATTACATATTTATTCATCTTTATCTCTGTTATTTTGTTTTAGAGTGTAAATTCGTGAAGAAAAAAAAAGGACACGGATCTCCTGGCTTTCAGCAACAGAAGAATGAAAAAACAAAGAAAAACTTAATGATAGCCGTGCTGCTAGGTAAGGTGGAGGGCAAAGTTGACTGTAGAGGCTGGGACATCTGGGAGAGTCCAGAGAGACGTGACCCTGAGTCACGTGAGGACAAGGAGGGTAGGGAGAGTGGAGTGCAGCTGCCGGAGAAAGGGGGAAGCCTGGGCCAAGAGACAGGCCGGTGGACTAGAAGGAATAAAGACCAGGTATCCAAAATGGCTAGCTTATGTAGGGAAGGTCATCTGGGGGAAGAGCAGGCGTGGAAGTCAGGGGAGGCAGTGGTACTGCCAGACCAACAGGCCCTGTAACAGGCATGGACTGAGAGATGCAGGGAGAACCTGACAGCAATTCTCTGCTTTCACATGTTAAATATATACCTCATGCTTTTGTTCCCTGTTTGAGACCTACCAGTATTTGTTTGTATGTATGAATGTATGTATGTATGTTATACACATGTGTGTACATATATGTGTATATGTGTGTATGTATATATTTATATATGTATGTGCATATGTGTGAATATACATACATATGTATAGTGATATGTAGCACACATGTGGAAGGCAGAGGATGACTTATATAGTTGGTTCTGTCCCTCCACTCTGTGAATCCTGGCAATCAACAAGGGTCGTCAGTCTTGGTGGCAAGCACCACTATCCACTGTGCATCTCTCCGGCCAAGGAAGTGAGAAATAAAACCACACCAGGCACAGAGGAAAGATTCGTTTTCTATCTCACAATTCTGGCTGCCCAGCCCTGAATTGCCAGCATGAGGTAGGCTGAGTCAAACGGCTCTCCTCAAGTTCCACCAACCTTGGCAGCAGAGTCAGGGATCCTATGTAAAAAAAAAAAAATACTAGAAGAAAAACAGAAACAAGGCCTGAAATGCCAGGACAAAGGTTCTCTTGGGCACAAGGCTGCCTTTGGCTCGCGTTTCTAATCTACCTGCCTCCAGTTCCCAAGGACTGGGATTTTAGACAGGCACCACTCCCACTCACTGTAAGCAGCTAGTTGTTACACATGCTTTTAAAGAGAAACAAATTATACTCACATTTGTTGTGTTTGGGTGTGTGCATGCAGAAAAAGCGGTTCTATTCGTTACGTCTAAGGCTCAATTGTCTATGCTTTATCAATTCTTTTACTTAATGCATTTCCATTAACATGAGCGTATCTCATTTCCCCTTCCCTTCTCCCTCAATTGCTCCCAAGTCCCCTCCGTCCATCTCTGTCCACGCACTCCCCGACTACTGTCACATAATTGCCTATTTCCAGTTATCCTTGCTTCACATATACAGACACGTATGGTAGGATTAAGTGTGTAAATGTGGCCCTGTGAGCCGGCTTCCGTTGCTTTTGTTCATGTGGTTTCCGGGCTGCTCCCTTGGCATTGGCTAAATAATAGAGCACTCATCCTTGGGGGAGGCAAATCCCCCAGTCTCTGCAGTCACTAGGGGCTTATACTTCCCTGTCCAGGAACAAAATAAAGCCGGCCTAAACTCCCAGCACAGAGTGCCTCTCCTTCCATGGAGACATCACCCTCTCTACCTTACCTTGTCTATCAATATGGCCAGTGTTCTGATCTCATTTTTCAGTCAGTTGTGTGAGTGACAGTCTTACTCTAGACATCCAGGTATTGGTGTCTTACAATCCTTTGCTCTCCTCTTCCCCTTTGTTTTCTGAGCAAAAGATACAGTAACTAAGGTACAGATGGATCCATTGTGGCCTTCTGCCCATGAGCCATTGTTCTCTGCATCCTGTCCAGTGTTGGCTTCTGTCATGGGCTCCATTTGCTCTATACATAGGGATCTCTGAAGAGGGGTGCTAGGCATACTTACATAAATATAAGATTAATAGTGGAGCTCTGAATTATGCTAGTGTGTCATTGTGGATGCAGTAGATTCTCTTTTAAGATATGAGCTCTCACTATCCCTGGCCTTTTGGCGAGGTTTTAGTACTAGGGATGATTTCCCTCCTGTTGACTGGGCCCTAAAATCCAATAGACCCGTAACATGTGTGTGTCATTTCTTACACCTCTCGGGAGATTTCCTGCTGGTCATCCTTGTGCTTCATAGGTGATGTTGTTGTGTATCACCGTTGATTGCTTCCCTGCCTTGGCAGCTTGCATAGCCTTTTCTTGTAGCATGGAAGACAGACACCGGGAAGGTGCCTTCCAGCCTATACCCCGATGCTCTACAGGGTCTTCACCAACTGAGGCTCACCTGTAACTGTTCAGAGCAACCTAGAGCAGCAGCAACCTTCTGTATTTGGGAGTCACTTGAACGTCTTGGACTACTGGGCCTTGTACCGGGGTCACTGTTTCACAATTTTATACAATGTGTTTTGATCAAATTCACCCTCATTCCATACCAACTCCTCCCAGAGCCACTCAACCTGCCTACCCATCCTACTTTGTGTCCTTGAAAATAAAATAACCAGCTCATCATGTCCTATTTGTGCTGTTCTGCACTCTTGTTTGTGCGGCCATCCATAGAACATGGTCAAGCTACCGGGGACTGCATCTTGAAGGAAAGCGACTGTTCCTCTCTTAGACGCTATCAATTGCAAGGAACTCATCAGCTAGCTTGGAACTGCATGGCCAACTCTAAATATGTATGACTTGAGCTTGCGTAGCCCTTGGCTCTGCTCTCACACCTACTGTGACTTAGATGTGCAGTGCCCAGCTGTGTCAGGAAACTGAGTTTCCTTTATCCATCCACCACCTTCAACTCTCTCTCTCCTCACCCCATGTCCTCAATGATCCCTGAGCCTTGGGAGGGAGGATTTGTGACGACATGTCCCATTTAGGGCTGAGCATTCCACAGTCTGTCTACCTTGACCAGATAAGAGCCAAAGGTTTTGGAAAGGCAAGAGCTGCATATGCTCATAACAGAACCAAATACCAGAGTGGGGAGGGACTGTGGGTCAGAAGTCCCATGCCTCGCTGAGGACCTAGTGTCAATTAAGGGCTGCTGGGAGAGGGAGACCCAGATTTCTTCAAGAGTATGTCCCCTGCTAGGTCGACCACAGTCCAGGCGATGGCCTCATACACAAACCTTTTTTGGGCACCCACATTGGACTACATAGATTACAGAAAACAAAGGAGCCCGTGGAGTTTGGGGTTGGGGTTGTGGGAATGAGGCATCTGGGAGGACTTTGTGCATAGGGTGTGTGCGAACGTGATCGAAACACATCTAATGAAATCTTCAGTGAAGTGTCAGGAAAAACACGGGTCAAAGTATACAATCTTTTCTTCCACCCAAGTAACCGCTTAAGCATCCCTGACTACTGTATCTTGAAAAAGTCACTGATCTCCTAGTATACTCCTGTGTCGTAGCCAAATCTCTTCTGGCCCTAGCTAGCAGGCGTGTGTCTTTCCTCAGTCCTGCAGAGTCACAGATAGCACAGAGGGACGTGAGGACACGCTGGCTGTCCATACCCTGAAGTCCTATCCCCGAAATGGTTTTAACTATTGAGACAGAGCTGGGCAGGCTTCACGTGTGAGGGTTGCAAACCCTCACCTTTTTACCCCGCAGCCCTCCCCTCTGAACACAGTGGCATGCTCTGTGTCCCTGCACTCTCATTACAGAAATGTAGGCTTATCGCCAGAGACAAGAGAGGAGATTATGCCCCTCACTCATGGGCATGGGAGGGCCAGGGTTTCCTGCTTCTCAACCTGGAGCACATGGCCACTAAGTGGCTGCTGCCATACAAACTGAGATGCATGCTTCCTGTGTACGAGGCTGTACATACTGTGCTGTTGAAGACTCTGTAGCAGGGTTTCTTCCAAACTTCTTCAGTAGAATGTCTGAAAAGACACTTCAGTGGTTAAGACAGTCTACTGCTCTGCTCTTGCACAGGACTGGAGTTAGGTTTCCAGCTCCCTGATGCCACACCTACATACACATGTACATACCCACACCAGAGCCATGCGCATCACTAAAGCAGTCTAACAAATCTTAGGAAAGAGGACACTGTTTACAATTTCTATTAGAAATTGGCTCAGTTCTTTACCTCAATCACATCATTTCTCTGTCTGTATTTAGCTCTGGATAAGTCACATTCAAATAATCCAGGTTTTCCGTGTAAGTCCATTTTAGAAATGCTCCTCAACTTTCATAATCGTCAACATAATGTTACAAGATATGTGATATTAGGTCGTCTAGCCACAGCAGCCTTATCAGAGGCCCGGCTGCTCTTAAGAACCCCATAGTTCAGGCCAGGTGTAAGGATCCCAGGTCAACAACTTCAGAAGGAGACTTGAGCTTTTCTGGAGCCCAGGTTGGATATATGGACCACAGACCAGCAGTTGTAGGGTGGTGGTGGGGGGATACAAGGGACCCTAGAGGACAGACCAGATCTAGGGACCCCAGTCTGCATCCGTCCCTGGGCTCCATATCCTGCTCTACAACTTCAGAAGAAGACTGTGACTTTACCAGAGGTCATGATGTGTC